GCCAGGTACACAGTTGCATTTGCACCAGCTTCTAGGCATTGATTCCTTTCAACATGATAATCTTCATGTTTTCTAACTTTTTTGACAGGGGGACGTTTAGGATGCTGAGAAGAGAATTAAGAGAACAGAGCTTTTTTGTATTCATAGTGAGCTTGCACAACAGGACTGCTATTGGAGATTCCCCTCTCCCAGCTTACACAAGTTAAGTCCAGGAAAATATCATTGTAGACAAACAAGTTTAGTTCAACACTGAATGTGAGGTGAGGGGGTAATGAGATAGATAGGCTTGCTTTTTCATGATTGTAGCTACTGAGTCGACTTCCGAAAACTCAAACCCTGTAGGGAATTTAAAAAATGTTCGAGTTATTGGGAGTTTGAAGCAAATAACCATAAATAAGAAAAAATTATAAGCAAATGGATGGGGAGGGAATGCAATTAAGCAACAAAGTAAACAGGAATGGATAAAATGGACACTGAATTTGAAGTGGACTGACCAAAAAGTAAAGACAAAGAACTGATGCGTTTGCTTTGAAATAAATTTAATGTCTCGGACTTCAGTACACGTTTTTTTTCCTGACTTGTCACATGCTTATAACATGGTTCGAGTTATCAAGGGTAAAATTATATAAAAATTATCTGAAGGGAAACAAAGATTACTTCGAGCTAGCAGAAGGTTTGAGTTATCTAGGGTTCGAGTTAACCAGGGGTAAAATTATAGTAAGTATATGAAGGATATCCAGGGGAAATCCACTTTGGTTCGAATTAGCCCGAGGTTCGAGTTAGTGAGGGTTCGAGTTATCGGGAGTCAACTGTATTTTCATTAGGAAACGGGAAAATTATTCAATACCTTCAACACAAAGGAAACAACCTCCCTGAAATTCGGTTAATCTCACCAAATTGTGGGTTAATTGTCTGAAAGAAAGGGTAAGAGCACATAATGTTTCTTCATGCAATGCTTTCTTTGGAATTGAATTCAGTCGTTCAGAGTTAAGTCATTTGTATATTATAATAAATTATCGAAAATAGAACTGTGCCACAATATGGATTTATGCTAGCCTGCGAGCAAGCTCTCCTATTTGGGCCAGCGAGGTGAGCCTCGCGAGAACGCGCGAGCGAGGGGCTGAGGAAAGGAGAGCTTGCAAAGATCTCTCATAAAATTTCATTTCCACCCCGGAAACCCCGGGACTCCGCAAAGCGTGAAAACTGTCACCGCAAACGTGCCACAGATTAGAAAAGTGATAACCACCTGTCAAGTAAGTTTAGACAGCCGAGGGGGCGAAACGAAAACGAAAACAACTGCTGAAGGGTTTTCACGTCTACATAAGAGCTAGGGATCTAAATATGTGCCGGGGATGTTGTGTTCTTTTTTATACACCATATTTTTGTGCTGTCAGTGACTTTCTTTGTAAACAGCACTAAATAATACCTGAATGGGCAAGTAAAGTGACTTTCCATCTCAAACACGCTAAGTGACACCGAAATCTGCAATTTACCCCTTAAGCAAGACGGCAAGCATCCCCGTCATTTTTTATGTGAGAGTCCACTCCCCACCAGGTTTACGACATGTTTTTGAGAATTATGATGATAATAACGACCTTGTGGCTTTCCATTCCTTCTTTTCTGAACCTCAGTGGCAACGTCCAATGCAACACGATAATTTATCTATCTTCAGCATACTCTTCCACCTTAATCTTGGCCTGGTGTTCATTATTGTCTTCTCTCTTCCCCTCTATGCTCCTGATGACTGCAAGATTGGTTTCTCCACAGGTTGGAGGAGAGGTTGGAACAAGCTTTTCAGCTCTTTAGAAAAGGATAAATCAAATACTGTTTATTAATAAACCAGTGTTGATCAAAAGAGTTATGTTGGAAAGAAAATTAAGCCATTTTTTTTCAAATGCCATTGAAGGTCAATGTTGATCAAAAGGGTCATTTTCGAGATAAATTTAGGCTGTTTACTTCTTTCATTTGAAATTGATTTGAATTTTTTATTTTTTCAATGCAGTCAAGGTGAAGCAAATCCTGCTATCTGATAGGCTATCTGAAGTGGAACAATGCCGGGGCCTATATTGAGCACTCAGGATTTTCTGTGTTTGTCCCACAAGAGAAAGTTCTCTTTTTGGTGCTTATTGTCTTTTTGGATCATTCTACATTTCCGGGAAACTGCCCACCTGCCCCTCTTCAGTGTTCCAGATAAGAGGTAAATGTAGGTCTCGCGGGTCAATGGCCTGACAAAGAAGGCTTCCTGACCTGACAGATGACATATAACTTAAGTTAAATATAACGAAAAAAATTGGTACGTGGTCTTGTACGTTTTACAGCCTGACATTCGGGCAAGCTGCAGTTAGCATGTACTAGTCCCAAAAGTCATTTCAACTAGCCCCAAAACCCTTTTTGATTAGCAGGATTGATTACAATCCTTCTGTAATTTGAATTTGCCAAAAAAAAAAAAACACTTGCCCGTCAGGCAAGTTGACAACAAAAATCACCAGCCCGATAGCAAAATCCACTAGCCCCGGGCTATCGGACATGACTTTCTTTGCATGCTGCTTGATGACCCCTCAGATGGTCTACATGACCCCCCCCCCCCTTTGCTTGAAAGAATTAACTGGAATGCTGCCTCCCCTAAACCAACATTAACACTTACTTCTCACTTACATGTAGAGCAAAGTGTTGCCTTAGGGGAGGGGTAGGTGGGCAGTTTCTCAGAAACGTATAATGATCCGTCTTTTCCTTGGATCATTAAAATGCAAGAAAATATCCATCTTGACCTACATGTAATGCTTGGTCAATAAAGGATATGTGTTACAGGTCAAAATTGAATTCAGGTTACAGTGTAATAATAACCTAAATAACCTCTCCCACACTCAAGGTAAAGGATTGAGAAACCAGTACTGAGAAAAGTCTGGGGACATGCGAGACCTTAACTAATGCATTGTGGATATAATAGCGTCTCGTCCTTTCACTGGTGTCATTCCAGGGTGTCTTTAAGGAGGAACGAACAGGACTTATGTCCCGCGTAACAAGGAATTTGTTAAGCGCTGATCGTGAGTTTTCCATCTGATTCTGTTGAACAAACTGATCAAAGGAATCTTCAAGGCTCCCGGATTCTGGTGGCAATTATAAACTTCCAGCTTCTGACCATCCCGGAGTTTCTATTTTAAACGGTGTACTGGTTGAGAAGGTGGTATGCCTTTCCTAGGAAAGAACGTAGAAGGGCACTAATTTTCTCAGTTAAGGATCTGAATGCATCGCCAATGAATTTCACCTTTCTCATAATCTTTGAGCAGATAAAAAACAGGAATTTTTGCAAAACTAGAAAGCATTCTTTTTGTCCATGCCCTTAAAATATAATTAAGGTGTAGTTTTTCACCACTACAAAAAGTCACGAAGGCTGAGGAATGGGCGGTGATCAACCAAGTCTAGTTACAATTTTTTGTCACCAATAGCAATAATTCTATGTCAAAGCTTTCGCATAACAGCCAAATTGATAATGATAATGATAAATGATAAAGATGGTGATGGTGATGCTGGTTATGGCCATGATAACTGTAATGATAATAGAAATAATAATGATAATGACGATGATGACAGTAATGATGCTGATCCTGATCTTATGACGATGATGATGATAAAACAAGGACTTTGTCCTGAACAATGATATAGTGCTGCCGTTGGAGTAAGGGATAAGTATGAAAAAAAGATATGAAGTTTTGTGGGGGAAGTTCCACTCTCAAAGTGCTCAAATTCAGGTTGTTCGCGCGCCACGCCCTCGCACTAGATCTTGGTTCTGTGCTGACAGTTGATTTTAATTAAGGTGAACAAATTTTAGTGATACTATTTAAGAATCATTTGCTTTTGAACAACGTGAGCATGAGTCGGCCATTTGACCGGTTTGTTTTGAATAAAAGGGATAAAAACATGCCGAACGCACACAAAAAGTGACTGCTCACCTCCAGACCTCCACCCCCCTCCCGCCCTCCTCAAAAACAAAACTTATAAAAGACCTGTAGAGAAATAAGCTTCCTTGTAAGTGTCGTCATTGAGCGTTTTCCAGAGATAGGCAGGAGAAGCACGAAAAATACGCGACAAGAGGTCAAGACGCGAGAAAAAAAATCTCTCGCTTCAGCGGGCACGCTATGTTTTGACGGGGGACAGGGTCTGGAGTTGTCTGTTTTTCTACTGCGGATTATTTTACCTACTTTTAATTTCGTAGCATTTCATTTGATAGCGATCTAATACTTTTAGTTAACTATGTACATTTGTCAACTTACAGGTGAAGTTTCTTTACATTCAACGGCACTTTCCTCACAATGCGTACTAGCAACAGATTCATTCATTTGCTTTGGAAGCTTAGTCTCCTTGGAAAGAGAGGTCAGAACCTGCCTACACGATCTGCAAACACCTGAAAATAATAACCGCTAGACTTGAGTCTCATTATATAATATATATATACCGTAAAATTCCGAAAATAAGCCCCGGGGCTTATATTTTTCAAAGGCCCCTTTTGAGGGGCTTATATTCGGAGGGAAATGTGCGTTTCAAAATCGATTGGGCTAGCCATATAGTTGGAAGTAAATTTACCGTTTTTGCCTTGTTATTCTTTGTATCTGAGGGTAATTTTCCAAGTACAAGCCCCCGGAGGGCTTATATTTGGAGGGGCGATTTAACGGAGGGTCTTTTGCGTTACCGATTTGAGGGGCTTATACATGGAGGGAGTTATTTTCGGAATTTTACGGTATATACATAAGATGAACACAAGTGAAAATGTTGATCGTTGGACTTACCTGATCCTACTGAAACCAATAGTCCTGTTTTATTCCAGATAACATGCGAAAATAATTTGCTTATCCCTCTGTCTGCTTTAGGACATTTGCCTCTTATGTTTTTATGTTTGGATATTTCGTATGGAACTCTACACCTATCGGTTCCCCGTGTCCATCCTATACCTAGGAAGATCGATGAGATGGGCAAATTGTCATTGTTTGGACACTTTCCTGAAT